TATATGGGTGTATATGAGGTTTTTGTCTGGCTCAGTATATTGTGTTTTAATATATCAGAGCATGCAGGGCCAAATTCTTGTTGTCTTAATCACATTAGTAGTTCCATTGATCTCAAAGGTGCTGCTTGTGGGAGTACAGTGAGCAGGACTTGGCTCATAGTCTCTGGAAAACAGTGCCATCGTGACACTTGTTAAGATCAGTTGCAAAGATGATTTACAAGACGTTGAGTAAAATTAATTTTAAGTTATCTTAATTGTGAATCAGATGTGCAAATCTTTTATTTGCACACCATGGTTGTGTAGTTTCCACAGTTTTATTTGATAAGCAAAATACAAGGGCCCAATCCTGTATTTATTGTCCATCTAAAACTTCAGTTAAAGTCTGTGGGTGGAATCCTGCTGACTGTACTCACAAGAGTATCATTTGAATTCAATTGGCCTGATTTTGATTTTACTTACACCATCATAAATCAGGAGTAACTTCACTGTGGTTAATTGAGTTATACCACCATAAAACCAGTGTGAGATCACAATCAGCTCCAGTGGGACTGCTTGTCAGACTTTGTCCAGTGAAAGTTTTGAGTGCACAAGGAATGCACAATCCTCTGGCACTACATTTGCATTTACATAGCTGTCTTGCAAGAGTTAATCTACCAACCTTTGCACCATAACAAGACAAGTGACCAGCACTGTGTCATATTAACAAACAGATGCCTGCATGCAATCCTGATTGAATAAATGATTGTTCTGTAGCAAATGTGCTTTGGAATATCTCTCCTTAAGAAATACTGTTCTAGTTAAAAATGTGTACAGTTTCCACCAGCTTTGCAGCATCGACAAAAGAGTAACACATCAGATTTCCTTCATATACCCAGAGACTCTTGTCCTTTCCATGCTCTTTTCTAGATTTAGCAAAATTCAATGATGGTGCTAAATCAATTTTTTTTTAACTTTCAAGGGAGAAAACACTGGCAAAATTGTGTTTTCTAGGGAAGGCTGTGTGTGTAAATGAGAAAGAGTGGATAGCAGCAGAGTGATCTCCTGTGGCCCTGCTAGTACAAGCTTTCCCCATATTGTCTCCTGCTTTTATATTAATTACAACTTGCATTATCAGCTGCGAGTCTGTAGCCCGGCAAATAGAAAATACTGCCCCTGGAGACCTAGCTTCTTGTATCTATTTTCCATCTCCTTCTATTGTGCTCCACTCAGTATTCACTGCTTTTCTCCTGGTAACACTGCTCTTTAACACAATTAGGTAAGAGCAAGAAGAGCACCATATTTGACTCCCAATTATTAAAACTACTGGGAATAGATACATGTGCCCGGTCTGCCTTCTATGGTGCACTGCAGTAGTTTAGTTCATGATTAAATACATGTGTTATAGTGTATGTGTGTATACATATGTATAAAATCAGCAAATGCATTTTAATCACACCACTCTCCTAGGATTATTTGATCTTCCTCTGCACAGCACATTTTTAAAACTAACAACGTTATTCACAAATTGATAAGAAGCCCCGTTAACAGTTTATATAGCAAGTCTATCTATCTATAACTCTTTTTAGAGCTGTTTCAGAGTAGCAGCCCTGTTAGTCTGTATTCGCAAAAAGAGAAGGAGGACTTGTGGCACCTTAGAGACTAACCAATTTATTTGAGCATGAGCTTTCGTAAATCCAATGAAGTGAGCTGCAGCTCACTAAAACTTATGCTCAAATAAATTGGTTAGTCTCTAAGGTGCCACAAGTCCTCCTTTTCTTTTTAGAGCAACACTGTGGGCCTGATCCAAAGCCCAACGAAGTCAATGGAAAAACTGCCATTAACTTCAGTGGGCTTTTGGGGGCGGCTCTCTATATGCATAATACATTGTATTGATTAGTTCCATCAGAGTAATTCTCTTAAAATGTATATTTGGGTACCACTTTTGCTTCAGTATTCGTAAAATTACTGCAAATGACTGGGAATGTGGTCAGGAAGTTTTTCTTGAGGGATGCAAAGTTGGAACCTGTCTAGGAAAAAAGTCAGAAGTTGGATTACACATACACACACAGATATCTTAATCCAAAGAAAAATAGTGGTGCCTCATGATCCACCCTTATGGTTACTGATCACATTTTTTATAATACAAAAGAGTAGTTAATTTCCCCGTGTTTAACATATTCTTAGTATTCTATGATTGCAACTTGTAAATAACCACTTTATTATTTTATCTCTCCATAAAATGCTGCCAAATTCTTTTCCTCAAGAAGCCCGTGTCACAAGGAATACACTGAGTTCCAAATCAATACAGTCTGTCTTTCTAAAACTCGATCCACAAACTGAGGTCAAGCACAACTTGGACTGGTATAGACAGATAGGGTTTTCAGCTGCGGGAAGTCCGATTCAGTGATGCCTTCCACCTCATTACATTTTCGGAACAGAAGACAGGTCCAGCTTTTTAATACCGTATGATAGGTTTTGGATGATATTTGCCTTAAAACATAACTGAGGTGTTACTGTTTAATTATTGTAATTTTCATATGTATGGTAAGGAGCTTTAACAGCAACCAGCTTGAGAGAGTCTGCAGTGCATAAAATTAACATAACTTGCTGTGTTCTCTGAAAAGTTTAGCCTAGGTGAACATGTTGCAATTATTATATTCTAAAAGAAGGTTCCAGCCTGATGTTGTTGGAGGGCTAAACTCATGCCATGCTATTGTTTCTTTCCTTTTTCATGTATTTCTTCTAGCTCTTTATCTGATTACCATCCGGCAAACAGCTGACGCTAAGAGGCTGCAGAGGGCTGAAGAGCTCCTGTCTGCTGTTTGCCTTCAGCTTGAAGCTATTTGAGTGGCTTCCTAACTCAGAGATAAAAAGAGGAGCTCATAGGCACAACTCTTGTTTTAATCCAGGCTGCAAAGAAACTTGCTCAGTCTTTGCATTTTATTTCTGTCTGAACTCCCCCCCCCCAACTTTATTTTCATTCATAGTCTATTTTTTAATAACATCTAAGCTGCTTCAACTCTTTAGACTTTTCATCTTTCTTTTTGTTTTCATTTTCACCTGACTTTGCGACATGATGGTAACATACTTTTTATTATGGTTTTTGGGGTGGCGATAATTAGCTTTTGGTGGATTTAGTTGCTACAACCGTCTCAACAAACGTATAATACTACTGTGTAATCAGTAATTTTTGAGAGTCTTTGTTGCAGTTCTATATTAGAGAAAGTATGTGAGTTAGTTCAAGAGAGTTTGTATCCTAAATCCTGTCAGCCGTGCTGATGGGTTATGGCTGTTGTGGATCCTGGGACAAATCCTGCCTGATTTTCTTATTCGTGTTGTCCAATTGATTTGAGTGGGCCAAAAGGCAAGCAGGATTTGGCTCCCTATTAGTTTTTAATTACTTAGGGTCTGATCCAAAGCCTGTTGAAGTCAATGGAAGTCATTTAATTGACTACAGTGGGCTTTGAATCAGGCCCGTAAAGTTTGGTTGGGTTTGGAGAAAAATATTATCTGGCTGTTCCACTATATATTGCTGTAATGCATGTGGTAGCAATCAGTTTTGGGAGATTACCTAGACAGGGTTCATTGTATATACAGGGCCTGATTCTGATCACACGTACACTGGTTTTACTCAGGGTAAAGCCACTGATTTTATTTGATTTACTTCTGATTTACATTGGTGTCAGTGAGGTGGGAATCAGGCTGTATATGCATCAGCATACATCATTCACAGTTCTCGGTATTAGCTAATGTTGTAGTAGCTTAGGGTGTTCATTATTTTCTCAACCAAGATTTTTTATTTTTCAAAACTTTTCTTGTCTGAAAGTGTTAGACGGTGTGCTTAATCTAAGTTGTCACATACAGGTGACAAGTAATGCAGGTCCAGCCCCAAGTCTGATCTGTTTCATGTGTTCTTACTCTCCTTTTTTGCCAGAGGAAATTCCATCTCTTGCCTGCCTTCATGTGGTGCTGATAAAGCTCTTCCTGTACAGTAGAATTCCTGTTTTCCTTTAAGCAACAGCAGGGTATTGGGAATGATCAGGAAAGGGGAGGAGGACCAGGAGGAGACTACACTCAACAAAGTAGCACTGAACTGTAACTTTCAGTTTTCCTCACTTATCCTTTTAAATAGGAGTTCTTCACTCCAGGAAAACCAATACTCAATAAATTAAAAGCTATCATGAGTTATGTGACTGAAGTACAGTAGTAGAAGTCTTACTTAGCCAAGTATTGTCAAATTTCATATGTCTGTCTTTTACATTCTTTTTTATTGTATTTTATGTGTATTAATGTAGAAAGAATTACATAAAAATCACCATATATATTATTTTATATAATCACCTGGTGATTATGCTTGACAGTTCTTGTAAGTGAACTGTTAAAGAGCGATACATCTAGAAAGTCTTTAAAAATGTGTCATATTGAAGAAAAAAATTCTTTACTAGTATATAATGTATTTCAGAGGGAGCTTATTTTTCCCATAGCTCTGCGTTTGCTTGAAGTATTTCCAACTTTCAAACTGGTGGAGGAGAGCGGGGTGTGACGGTGTGCTCCCCTCCCATCCACTTTTTCTTTTTCTTTTTAAAATACTTAAAAAAAAAAAATCCCCCTCACCTAACCAGATGTGGCAAAAATGGGAGAAAATGTGGCACTACACCCACTCCAGTTTGAGCTTCAAGTATTAGAGAAAAAAACATGTCAACTCATCTGCAAATAGTTCATCAGGAAATACTAAAACTTTTGGCAGAAGTGTTTTACTGCTCTACTATTAAAACAATTAATCCCAGATAACTGTTGGAAGAGTAAAAATCGGTCCTTTATTTTACCAAATAAATCTTTGTATGTCCTCCGCTTCTAACTGCTGAAGACATATTACATTGTACAAACAGTATCAGTATTTGGCACGTTTCACAAATGCTAATGTGTATACTTTCCCTCCCTCCCCCTCTGTTTTCTTTCTGTTCCTCATTTGCTATTGGAATGGGAACTGTGGAAAAAATTCCTTGGCATTCTGACACCAGAACCCTTCATCTTGGAGAGACCACGATGATGCAACCTCAACGCATTCAGCAGGCACACCGGGGCCCTCCAGTGGGGGCCATGCTTCCCAGAGTGGAGACAACAGCAGTGAGCAAGGTAAAAGGTCAAACTTTTTCCCTGTGCAAAGTAGGCATGACTAAAATAACTTTGGCTTTTTTATGATATCAGTACATCTGCCTTAGTGTAAACATGGAGTGGCAGGCTTGCAATGTAATCAGCGGTAACTTAGGGAGACACTATTTCCTTTTCTTAACCTACTTAGCTGCATTTTATTATTATTTCAAAGCGAAATATCTAATCTTCAAACAAGCTTTGTAATAACAATTGATTAGTTCTGCCAATTCCTTTACAAATTTGGTTATCTGCAGTTTATTTTTGAGTGGTGTAAGTAAATAAAATGACAGACATACTCTCCAGCTGTGATGCAGTAGTTTGTACTGGCCTGTAAACAGAGAATTTAACGTGTAATATTAGCTATAAAAGGACTCCTATAGCAAGCCGTAAATCTGTTACATCATATAAGAAAGATGCAGAAGTCAGCTCTGACTGACTGAAAAAAATCTTGTGCAGTGTTTGCCTGTATAATATTTTTTCTGAAAACATGAATTTTGAATGCTTGATAGAGACAGACTCAGGCTGCAAAATTCAAGTCCAAATCTAGACTTCGAACCCCCCCCCCCCCCCCAGTCTCCAAAGTTCAGGAATGCCGATTCTCCACAGCTTTTCACCTTGTTCAGCCATTTCTGCCTGTACCAAGTGGGTGTCAAACACTGCCATTCGGACTGGGGAACATGTTACACCTGCTTTGCACTCACTTGGCATGGGTGTAAATGGGTGCAGGGCAGTGGAGAGTCAGGCCCCAGGTGTTCAGAAATTGAGTTTTGGTGGAAGATCTCGTATAGGTGAGGCTCACTGTAATTTTTGGATTTTGATCTGGGTTCACATTTTAAACGCTCCCGAGGTTCCGTATGGTAGTAGCAGTTTCTCTTTGGTATATTGAACTGGGTCAATTGTTATAGATTATTTGTACAGGGTGCATTTGGGTTATTGCTACTAGAAAGTAGAAGAGGGTACGATATAGGGTTTGATCTTACTCCCATCTGAGTTATCCAGAATCTTTTTATTAACATCAGTAGGAGTTGGATCAGGCCTTAAGTCAGTGGGAGTCATTCCATTGACTTTAACTGGATTTGGGCCAGGCCTGTAATGAACTATAACAGCCACAGCAACTAATGACAAGGAGGGCTTTAGTTATAAAGCAGCAGGTCAGTGAAAACTCTAGTAATTCACTATCAAACTTTATGGTTTATAGATATAGATATAATCAATATGGATTTCTTGTCACTAAAGTGCTGATGATTTAGTGGAATATTTACATTTATTTATTTATTTACTTTTAAAGCGCCCATCCCTGTGGCATTCGGGAGTATGACATAACTTAAATACATCAATGCATTAGTCTAAACTGTCCATCCCAAGCAGGACACACAGGTCCCATACCTGTGTTCATGCTCTACTCCCAACAACCATAAATAATTCAGTGCTGGTCCATCATCAAACAATGTTTGACCACAAAGACATGTCTTGTACTGCAGCTTGGAGGACAGAAAATTTGAGCTCTGGTTGATCATTTGAGCTCTTGTTTGGGGGGAGGGATAGCTCAGTGGTTTGAGCATTGGCCTGCTAAACCCAGGGTTGTGAGTTCAATCCTTGAGGGGGCCATTTGGGATCTGGGGCACAAATTGGGGATTGGTCCTGCTTTGAGCAGGGGGTTGGACTAGATGACCTCCTGAGGTCCCTTCCAACCCTGGTATTCTATGATTCTATGATAGCCAGCAGGAGTGAGTTCCATGGTCATGGGATGCTGCACCTGAATACCCAACTTCTAATCTCCAGGCATGTAAATCTAGGGGCTCTCAGCAAATACTCCTAGGCTGACCTCATTATTTGGTATGAAGCATAGGCAGAGGTCAACCTAAGGTAGCAAGATATAAGATCTATCATTCTAAGTTATGGTCTGTGGTATTGTACACTCACAAATATAGTATACTTATTTAGGCATCCAGTAGGCTCCTGTGTAGGAACCAATTTAATCACCTGAGCGTTGCCTGGTGTGCTGGGAAAAAACATAACCTAAAGTGCGTCCCCATCTACCTGCTATGTTTCCTTTTGAAGTGCCAATCTACAAATTGAATGTCAGGACTCCAATCAGTTTCTCACACTTGAAAGATGCACACTCCTGTGATGTGTAGGTAAAACTCCCAATTGAAGACTATGGCCGAGATGCCTCCCCCTCCCATCCTCCCAGGGAAATTACAAGAGGGTGCCTACTGGAAGAAAATTCTGCAAGAGTCCCCTTGTTGAATTTTCCTTGGATTGTTCCATTGGAGGGACAGGATTGGCCTCATAACTGCTGAAAAGGCAGTGGTTCTATCCCCAAGCCACACGGATCCCCAGAATCTGAAAGAGGCCACAGCCATCTGTGAGGAGAATCTGTGCCTCTCCTCCAGGTCTGGGACCCATTTGTCTGACCCTTGCTGCCTCTCTGATCATTTGGCTCCACTGAAACTGCATTGCCAAGGCTCTCCTTTGCTGCTGCCTCTGGGGCACCACTCCTCCAATGGGGTTTCTCTGGGATGGAAGAGTTCATGAAAGAGTTAATGCAGCCTCAGATTGCATTAATATCCCAATGGCTTTTCTGCCAGTGTCAGGTGGGGTGGCAGAGGTAAGTGATCCACATTGCTCCTCCTCAGTCCTGCCTCTTGACCTCCCACTCTTTCCTGGCCCTCCTGACCCTTTCTTTCCTGATCTCCGACTCATTCCCCTGACCCACCCGTTCTCAGTTCCATCTCTCACCCTCAAGGGAAGGTCAGTGGGATCAAGTGATGGGTGGATGCTGCCATCGATGTTGTTGACCCTCTGTGCAGGACCAGGTAGATCCACACGAAGGGCTCCTCCCATGATGTTGTGACTAGAAAGCATTAAGTCATATGGGAGTTTTGCCTGTTGAAGGAGTGCAGTATCTGACCCAGAATGCCACAGCACAGTGGCTGCTCATTCAGCATCGAAAGGGTTAATGTAGGGGAAGTTTGAAATTAGTTAAAATATTTTGGCACTGAAAGAGTTACAAAAAGGGCCTTCAGGCAGCGAATGATGAAATATTATCCTAATTTTATTAGTGGTGAGTGTCTGTGTTGTTTTTAGCATGTCACCGCAGCTGTACAAGGGGAAACTACACGATACGCTGTATCGATCATCTAACAAACATAACTACTAGTGACCTGTAATCTACCAAGCATTTATTGACTTTAGCCTGGTTCAGATTCACAGACCCAGGTCAATGTCACAAAATACTATTGTAGTGAATAGTAAATAATGTGGTAAATATAATCAGTTTTTTTTCCCCCAGTGAAAGGGAGAAAGGGTTAAATACATCTAATAATAAAAATAAAACATTCAAAACATTTTACAAAGGAGGGGGGGGAAAGGAGAAGCTGATTTAATGGTCTAATGAGGCCATCTTCCAGAGACTTGTTTTGTGTAAGGCTTGCTTTGACCTTTCGCTTTGCTCAGGAGCCCAACGCTTCATTTTTCACATTCTTGCAATTACGTTAACGCTTCAAGCATTTCTGACTCTAAGTCAGCTAGCAACACCAGGCATAACTCAACACTGTGAGTTTTTCTCCTCTCTGTAGATTCATTAACAGGTCACTGGGGTCCCAACTGAAATTTAAAACTGACTGGTTCTGTTGGGTTAGTTGAGTTATGGCAAGGGAGATAGCAGGAAAGGGGCTGAGAGAAGGGGAGGAGAGATAGAAGACCCTAGGGTTTTTGGCAGGGAATATATGTGTAAAACCCTAAGCAGCACATTAAAAGGTGTGTGAGGCTTTAGCATTCAGCCATTTCATTGGGGGGAAAAAATCTGCAAGTCTTTTGGGGTGCTACATTTTCCTTATTCTTTCAAAATAAAGTAAAATGTGCCTTTGCATATGTAATGTCCAAATTATTGCTTTAAAATGCTAGCAACTTCTAGTATTCTGTATTGGTTTATGCCATGGTGAGGGATATGTCACCCACAAACTTTAATTCTTATTTAATTTCTTTATGGGATATTTCAAATAATGAATATGGCAGATTATGCATGAAAAGCAGGAAATCAATCTTTTTTAAGGTTTAAAAACATGTGGTCTACAGGAAATCACTGGAGAATAGTTTTAGTTTCGTATATTATGACACCAGGATTGTATACCTGGTTTGCCACATTTTTAGTTTAAGTCAAAGGGCCCGATCCTTGGAGGTGCTAAGCACCCACAAGCAGGCCTGTTGAGAGAAATTTGGGCCCCAGAGTCTCATGTTCACGGGGTCCCCCAACTCCTCCCATTTCACTTTATTTATGCAGACATTACAGACATATATGGACATATTTATACAGATGTTCAGCACCTCTCAGTATCAGACCCACAGAGGTAAACTTGTGCATATGTTACAAGCCAAAGGCAGGAAGCTCGTTCTGCAGCGTATAGCAGAAAACTTAACAAGATGGGATCAAATCCTGCTTGCCTTACTCATGTGAGTAATTCCACTGGCATCGATGGATCTACGTGTGTGAGTAAGGTGAGCAAGCTTTGGCCAACTGTAGAGAGGATCTGAGCACCATTTGTTCAGAAAATATCTTAAATAGTCTTTAAACATTTTTCTGTGGTAGTTTGATGTTTTGTCCCACTGATTTGCCCACACTAGCTTTCTGCGGGAAAGATTAATTATCTGCTTCAGGGCAAAGTCAACAGAGATATTGACTGAAATCACACATGCTTATCCTAGGTTACATCTTTGGGTTGATGCACATTGGAAAAGTTACTCTGGGTGAGTTTCTTGTTCATTGTGTAATACATTATGATATATGAATTTGGAAGCACCATGAGTTGGTAAGTCAGAAAAGGCCTTTCTTGATATTGAAACTATACTAACACAGTAGGCATATGTAAAATGAGTCTGCTTTGAAACCAAATCATAATAGATCCAGAAAGGAGGAGTTGTATTAAATAATGCAATGTGTTCATACACAGTATGCAATTGAATTTTCATACCCAAACTTT